AATTTCACATATAAAATTATATGTGAGAGAACACAGTACTGTATCCATTTGCATTACCAAAATTAAAAACATAAATTTTGCCAGTACTCTGGAGTGGTAAGATACAATACCTAACCCAGAGCAAACTGAGAGATTCATTGTTAGAAGTAAAATTAATATGGAAGAAAAGAATATAGATTAAAAGTGAAATGCTGCAGAATAGAAAATTAACCAAATGCTAAATAAAATGAGTGAAACTTTTATGATATTCAGAATGTAGTCTTGTCTAAGCCATGATAAAAATTAAAGGGCTCTTAAAGTGAAATATGTGAACCACCTTCTTCTATTTGGAAGCTAGAAGTGAAAATGAAAAGTTTTCATTGATTTGGAGGTAGTCTGTGTTTATTCCTGTTTAAAGTAAACACAGAGATTGAAGGGAAGATAGGAAAGGCCACGGAATCACAGTGACAGGAAAATAGCACCTGAGTGTCACAGGAAGTCAGAGAATCATAGACTTGGAAATGCCACTGTTCTATGGACAAGGAAACCAAACCCCAACCAGAAAGGTCAGCCCAAGTGGGAAGAGATGCTATAGCCCTCCTACACCCATCCTTGGAAAGCACCTTGGGGCAGGCATGGCAGCCAGTGCCTAAGTCCCGGTTGCTTGGGAGGCTGATGCAGGTAGGCTGCTTGAGATTAAGTTTAGGAGTCTGAGATTCAACTGGGAAACATAGTAACACCTAGTCAGAGGCAGTGAAAATACTGTCAGGGGCTGTGGTTACCTCAGTGGTAAGGTGTGTACCTTAGTAGTACAAGTACCAAGCACTAGGTTCAGCCTCCAACACCTGAAAACTAATAACAGCTTGGTTTACATATTTTTGTTGTCCTCTAAAATAAGATCTGATAAATGAATCTCGAGAGGTTTTTGTATGGGAAGCAGTGTAACTCTGAAAATAATATTGTGTTTTTGGATGTTTTCCCAGGTTGTGAGAATCAAATGACGTAGTGAACATGCATGTTAGGAAGACAGGAGGTGGGGGGGTAATAAGACATAGAATTTGCAGAATGGTGGAGACAGGGGAGTAGGGGGAGGCGCCAGCTGGTAGACCCAACGGGTTGGTGAATTTCTGAGGTTCTGGTGTCTGGGCTGGTGCACTAGAGTGTACCGGAATTATTGGCTTATTCTGAAAGCTTTTTTGACTCTCTGAACACAATTCACAATTCTTTAGTTACTCAAGAACTGATGTCTTTAATCAGGAAACACGAAGAACGTTCTGCCAAAGGTGAGTGAGGAAATTTTACCACAGTAATAAAAGCCGCAACAGACAATGTTAAGTTGTAAGGAAATCGAATCAACAGGGCATTCTCTCACCCTGGTCGCTCTTTTCACTTTGAAAAGAAGGCATTGGGTTTCCGCCTGCCTTTTATTGAGGGAATCTGTAATCAACACTGGATTTCTTATAATAGAAAGTTCTTGATCAGTGAAGAAGATATTTTGAAATCTAAGTCCTCTGACCTCTCTTCTCTTTTCACTTGAGACAGCCTTTGAAAAGGAAAATTCTGTGAAGTCATGGGCATGAAATTGCTTAAGGATGGTGTCCTACTAGCGACTGGGACACAGCATTTTCTCTTGGCAATAACATTACAAGATGGCAGGTCTCAGTTTACCTTTGATCATAGTTATGAAATGTTGCTATCAGATCACGTTAAAGCTCTCTCTGTCTCTCTATCATAACCTCACACATGAGGTAATTAATTAAAACACTGTTTATCTTAAGCAGAAGGCATGATATTCTAAAGGAGTAAGTGCATTTTCTATTCCTTTGTCCTTGTGATGGCTGTTCCTGGTCATGAATTTTACATACCCAGGAAGAGAGAACCTCAGTTGAACAATATAGACTATCAGACTGGCCTGTGCGTATGCCTGCAGGGGATTTGCTTCATTGGTGATTAATGGAGCAGGGCCATGCTGGGCAAATGGTCCTGGGTTGCATTAGGAGGCTATCTGAACAGAAGCAGTGAGTGAGTCAAGAAGCAACATTCTTCCATGGTCTTTGCCTCAATTCTTACTTCCAACATTCTGCCCAGGTTGTTGCCCTGGCCCAGCTTTCTTCGATATTCATTGTGTGATGTGGAGCTATAAGCCAAATAAACCCTTCCTTCTCCAAGTTGCTTTGGGTTGGTGTTTTATCACAGTAAAGGAAAAGCAAAGTAGAACAGTATCCGAGCTCAAAGCAGTCTGGCCTTAATGTTTGTTGTGCGTGGGAACTAGTGAAAGACTTTGAGTTGTTATGGTATCAGCAGAATGAAGTCATTCAGTGGAGGAGACATCTGGGCTCACCACTGGAATTGCCCTTTCCCTAATATTTTCATTCAGTTTTGCCTGATATTGATGTTGCTGCTCATTAAAAAAATATTTATAGTTCCATGTCAGTAAGATATAAAATGTGGACATGAACATCAGTGTCAACATAGTGCATATTACAGGGTGCCTTTGTTATTTGTAGATCTATATCTCAATAGAGAAAAAGGATGGACCCACAAATCCAGGCCTTTGAAGGCAAAAGATATACCAGCATTCATTTAATAAACATGAATGTGCTTTTCTTATTATTCATTTTCTTTCAGTGGTTGAAAACCAAACCTCAGGAAGATCGGTGAATATTGTCATTTTATTCAGATGTATTTTCTTGGAGTGAGGTCTTTACACAGACTGCCTCATTTACTCACAGTGATACCACATCTAACAGATGAGCTATTATTCTGGTTTTTATAAAGGAAGAATTCAAGTTCAAACAGCTTTAACAATCACTATAGTCTCTTATAGTCCCTTTTTCCTTTTGTAAAAATGGACATATTTTTTTTTACCAGACAAGAGGGAAGTATGTGTGTGTGTGTATGTGTGTGTATGCTTAAAATATTCCTATAATTATATATCTGAAAAAACTCCAAATTTAAATATATTTGCTATCCATGTCTAAAATACTTCTTACATAGTCCATCTACTTTTTCTTCAGAAGCCAAACATATTCATTTGAGAGGATGCTTGGCCTCCAGATGGAGAAATAAATTTAACTTGCAGATGGAGAATCCTGGGGCTCGCAGACATTGTTGTGCATCTTACAAGAAAGTTCTAGGCATAAGAACCTCTTGGATCTCAAAGTTCATCCCTTAGCACAGGTACTGACCTGTGAAACATGGCATATTACATTAAGGAGAGTGCTGTGGGCAAGTTTCTCCAAGCTCTGTGATTTTCTGCCAAATCACTCAGAAGACATTAACCATGAGGCTTCTTGCTGCCTCAGATGGCAATACAATAAGAACATCAAAGGGAAAACATCACAGATACTATGTTATAACCAAGTAATGCCCAATGGAAAGAGATGTGTCGCAAAAGAAGACAAACCACACATACAATAATGTATTCTGTACATGTACAGCCTGTACACATGGGTGCACTTTAAGCATACCATCCCAACAACTTCATGTATACATTTTTCTGTTAGCTGCCTTATGGAAAACAAAGAATTGACTCATTATTTAAATATAGTAAATCTCTCCAGTGTATAACAGCAGCACTCAATGACAAGGGCATAAAAATAAAAAAAGGGTGGGCTTGTTCTTGGGGGCTTGTGGTATATTGTGGAAACATTGTTACAATAACATGGTGAAAAACAAGAGATAGTTTCTTAATCTGAGAGGGGGTATGTCATGGAAAACCCTCTGGAGGAGGTAACATTTGCCCCATGTCTTGAAAATCAAGCAGTTGTTGAGCAAAAGGAAATAGAAAAAGTATAGATCCCACCAGGATCCACTATAAATAAGCCAAGTTCTAGAAACAGTGGTGTGTGCACAATGGAGTTGTTGCAACATGAAAGAAAAGTCTCTTTTATCCACTCTTTCACTTTCTGTGTGTTTAGTTAACCGTGGTCAAACAAGTCCTAATATATTACATGGAAATATACAGAAATCAACAATTCTTAGTTTTAGATAACTTCTATTATAGTATATTATTATAATTCTTATATTTTACTATTAGCTATTACTGTTGCTCTACTTAACTTAAAATTAAAACACAGAAATATGCATGTGTGTCTGTATGAAAAGCATTTCATGATATAGCTTTCCATATCTAGCTGTCTATATCATCTATCATCCATCTATCTACCTAGCTATACACATTTCACGTATCCCAAAATCCACTGAGTATTTTGAGTCATATCCCCTGTAGATAGGAGATAGTTTTCAGACAGTGACTTGGACTAAAAGGGAAGGTGGAGAGGATCTTGTAGGACTGACTAGGTTTTACTTTCAATAACAAGGAGCCTTTGAAGGTTTAAGACCGGTGGCAAGGCCAAGTCTGTATCTTAATAGATGGTTTTTGTAGCTATTTGGTGAGTGGTTTTCAGATGGTCAGCGCCAGAGGTTGGGCCAATGTTAATGGCCTTAAGAGAGACACATACCACGGAAGGCAAGGGATTTAGCTCTGTACCTTGGTGCTGGGGACTGGGTCATGGCAGAGGGTAGAAGCAGTGTCTAGGAGATATAATGTCCAGACTTCTGTAGATGCATGAAGATGTGAGGATCAGGTGCTCTCAGACTTTGGCTTGGGTGACTGGGGTAGGTGTGGGCATGAGGAAGGTCATCAAACTGAAACGGGTGGTGTGGACAGGACCTGACTGGGTAGGTTAGAGGTGTAGCCGGTAGAACTGTGCCGAGGTTTTCTCTCTGAGGCCTTCGTCAGCACGGGTAGTTTTCAGCAACTTGAGCAAAAGGACTGGGGTGGCACAGTTGGGTCTCGTCAACTTACAGATGTGCACAAGTGAACACACAACTTCCTCTGTGAGCCTAACTATGTTGCTTCCCCTCTTTCTTATCTCCTACAACATAGACTTATACCTGTAGAAGAATGACCATCAATAACATACCTGGTTGTAACAGCTTAAGGACCCAGTAGGACAGGCCACACTGTGGGATGTGGGAGAACTGTGAATAACCAAATGCTGTTGCTTTGTTTCCAGCTGCCATGGAGATGCCTGCTCCCGAGGAGTCCTGCCGCAGCTGACCTCCTCTTTAAGGACCCTGGCTCTGTGGTTCTGTCCAGTTCAAAATGGCAGAAAAGGCTCCACCTGGCTTGAACAGGAAGACGTCCAGGTCGACACTTTCTCTTCCTCCAGAACCTGTGGACATTATTCGAAGCAAAACGTGCTCTCGGAGAGTTAAGATCAACGTGGGGGGCCTTAACCACGAAGTCCTGTGGAGAACTCTGGATAGGCTACCCAGGACACGCTTGGGGAAGCTTCGAGACTGCAACACGCACGAGAGCCTCCTGGAGGTATGCGATGACTACAATCTTAACGAGAATGAGTATTTCTTCGACCGACATCCTGGAGCTTTCACGTCTATTCTAAACTTCTACCGGACAGGAAAGCTCCACATGATGGAAGAAATGTGTGCACTCTCTTTTGGCCAAGAGCTTGATTACTGGGGCATCGATGAGATCTACTTAGAATCGTGCTGCCAAGCCAGATACCATCAGAAGAAAGAGCAGATGAATGAAGAACTGAGGCGGGAGGCAGAGACCATGCGTGAGCGGGAGGGAGAGGAATTTGATAACACCTGCTGCCCTGAGAAAAGGAAGAAACTTTGGGACTTGCTGGAGAAACCGAATTCCTCCGTGGCTGCAAAGGTATGGAAAGCATGGTCTTGGGTCACCTGTGTAGTCAGAAAAGGTGGAGTGCTCATGTTCCACTGAGTGCCGTTTTCTTCATTGCTGTGGTAAGACAGAACAAAACGTGGCTGCACAGTACCGTATGTAGGCAGATGTCGTCATTTTTCCTGTGGGATGTAATAAAATGGTGCTAGTCCTTGAGAAATATTATTGTCTGTAGGGACAGGCGTGCATCTTAAGGTAGGGTTCTGATTTCCATGGTGTGGTGCCTTGGAGGTGGAGAAAGAAACCATAACTGAGACCCAAAGTCAGAGTCTTGTAGACCCGGACATACACTTCATCTTTGGTCAAGAAGGTGCTGTTATTAGAAGTAGCGAAAGTGCTTCCTGGCCTGGTTCAGTGGAAGATCAGGAAAAGAGAAGCTAGCATGGCCCAGAGGACTGAGGGGTCATATACAGGAGAAGGGAACCATCTTAAAAAGCTGTGTAACACGTGGGCCAGTGCTCACAACGCACCCACTGACCTGTCCTGTGAGGTCTTCTGTCATAGAGCTGTTTTTAAACTACTGATGCATGTTTCTTTTATAAAACTGGTATATGATCATGTCTCAGAGTTTATAAAGTATTTGCTTAAAATGAAAGCAAACTCATGTTTTTCATTGTGCCTGCATATATAGCCAAATCCGAATTAGTTTTCTGTCACTGATTTTTGTGTTTGGTTATAATGCATGATTCTGTTTGTCTAATTTTATCTAGAGCATCAAGAGTGAGTGAAAGCCAATTTCCAAGCCATATATTTAATTCTATATTGCAATAGGAATGATACAGAAAACATCAAGTTGCCTTTAGCTGCAGGAGCATAACATCAATGGTTTGCTCCTGGTAGATGACATGGAGTGGGATAGATAGGGGGAATGCCATCATATGGGACTTTCTGGTTGCTCTTTCATCTTAAAATTTCTTCCTCTGTAAATGCTAATGGCTGCAGAATTAAAACAGAACATATGAGCCTTTTGACCTGAAATGAACCTTCTACAGGATCACCGGCAGCATAAATAATGACAGCAGCTGATGCAGATGATGAGCGTGTTGGTTCTCACGGCATTTGGTTTACCTGAGTTGGTTTCTGATTGACTTCCAAAAGCATTTTATTTTCTGGGCAGGATGTGTACTTTAAATTTAAAAAAAAAAATGTCTTTCCTTTACACACAATGAAGAAACATACCGTGATGGTGACTGCACAATGTCACTTGCTCTTCTTTCCTTTTTTTAGTGACAAATCTTTGGTTTGCTCTTGCTTGTCCTGTATGTAGGAGGGAGACGTGTCACCTGTGTGGAGATTTGTTGGGAAAGGTGATTGCCTTCCCCTGGGTTGAGTGTTCAGTTACATATTTGAGTTCCTACTGAAAATATGGGGTGGATTTTGAAAGTGAATAAAGTAGACTATAGATTTAAGTTAGTATTGTGGGAGTTAAAAATTAACTTTAAAGAAAGACTTTCAGCAACAGAGGAAAAAGTTAGGTTTACACTAAAAGTTCAAGAAGGAGTTTAATCAAGTATGTAAAATCAAGCAGGTGGATCAAGAAAACTTGAAGTTGATATCATTGATTTGATCATAACATTATCGATACACATCTAACGTGGAATGCTAGTGGAGAAGATATTTGAAATATATGTTTTTTCCTTCTTGAAGAAGGTAGTGCTAGACTAGGGTCAGTAACATGTTTTCCAGACAAGGGAGTATATTTGACTTCTAAAGTTTGGAAACAGTACCTATTTCTTGATCTCTAGGAAGATAATGGCTTATCATAATATACCATTTTTACCCTATATATCAACAATTATTTAAGCTTGCTTTGTATAGATATGTGCTTAAAACAATATGCAAAAGCTATGTACACTGTCCTTCAATTTTTATGTTGTTATCAATAGTAAATTTGTCTCCACATATTAATGAGGAAGAGTGATTTTGCTACCTTAAGGACAGTCATAAAGCATTTATGTTTAATTCAATGTCCACATTTCCTCTCTGTTTCAATAGTGAAATATTATGAAACTGTTTATGTCTGATTCCGTAGTATTTTAATGAAAGTGTTCCTCTTTTGTCTGAACTTTGAGACTTTTTAAAACAAGCTTTGCATGATGCTCAATGTGAACCTATGTCTTCTTCCACATGTTTAAAAAGCAATAAAACTTGTTCTTTTCCTAGAGGGATTTTGGGAATGAGAGGGCCCATTCAGCTATGTGTGAATAGCATTTTTTTGTAACTTAATAATAAGTAGTTGCGTTACATCTGCAGTGGAATGACACTCCAGTCCTCACTATATATTTCGGTTATGAATACATTGGGTTCTTTATGTGTATGAAACTCGTGTGGAAATTGCTAGAGTTGCTGTGTTCTTAGGAGGCCTAGGAGGTGGAGATCTGTGGTCCAGGTGTCTGTTGACCTTTCTTTCCCAACCATTGCTGCTTTTGTTAGTTGAACTCATGTTCCACATGCACTATAGCTTAAAGCAGAAACTTGTGAAAATGCTCCCTTCTTCCCAGAATTTACAATCTGGCCTTTTATCTCAGGAATTTCATACCACTGAAAATACTGGGATTTTCCTCTTATAATTTCTCTATATTTTCTGATTTTTCTGTAATAAAATACAGCTGGGCATGTTGCTGCATAGCTATAATCCTAGCACTCAGAATGAAGAGGCAGGAAGATTGCTGGCAGTTAAAATCAACCTAGGCTGTATATCTAGTTCCAGATCAGCCCATGCTATGTACTGAGACCTTGTCTCAGAAAACAGAAACAAACAAATGAAAAAAAAAATAAAAGAATGTTTTGAGATTATTTGCCATTCCAACCATACTCCTAGTGTGGAAGGAAAAGATTTTTATCAGACTACTCATAATAAGTTAACTATCTACTCACTGGTATATAATGCATATTTGATAATTTAGTAGCAATTGCTCAGCCATGCTATGTGTATCCATTTTGATGCACATACTCACGACTGACCTGCTCTACTTCATGTTTGGATAGGATCCTGTCGGTAAGAATTGGACCCTTAGAGAAGAGGCTCTCCAGTATCACATAAAGAACTACATTGCCAAATAACTTTCAGGTGTATTAGAACAACAACAACAACAAAGGCAGAACAGGGCACAGGAACACAATCTATTTGAAACATCAGTATTTGACTAATTAGCTTCTGTGCACATGCACAGAAGATGGTGAACTGTAATTGTACTTTTTATAAAAATCTGAAAGGACTGGTAGAAATAGTGTCTCTGGGTTTCAGACACGGCTCAGTGGTAGGTGCTTGAATAGTATGTGTAAGGGTGTTAAATCTTAGCACTGCAGTCAAGGGAAATGTCTTTATCAGTTTTTAGTGGTATGGTATGACCTATGATCTGGTATTGCAGCCTGAGTTTACATTTGCAAGGCGGGCTTTGTCTTTTTCCAGCATGTCAGTCTATCTTAGGACCTATATTCACCTTCAGGTAGAGATACTGCCCTGAGTTAAAATGACAGGCTGTTTGTCAATGATGGGTCCAGCTACATGGCCTGGAAAATGACTAGGACACCTCTCTGAATACATGTGAGAGGGGATTATTGGCTCTGTTATGTTTTCATAGGACTGTGAAAAGCCAAGGGCCAGAATTAACTCAATGTCAGTTCCCTAGGCAGTGGATTGGAATTAGATTTGAGCCTGTACCTCTTCCAGACTGGAACAATTTAGTCTATTTCCAGATTTGAAGCATTTTTCTCTCTTTATTTGGCCTTTTCCAAGGGAGCTGCAATAGCCATTTCCTATAAATATCACTGACAGGGACTTCAATGTAAGGGATGTTTAGAAGATCTGAGGAAAATACTTCTTGTCCCCTGTAGTACCCTCAGGCTTGAGGTAGAGAACAGAGGCACACAGCTGCCTACATTCTGAAGTAGACTAACTCACTGCATACCACACAAGGCCACACTCTGGATGTCTAACGACAGCTGTGGACTAAGGACATCAGCTCAGTGTCCACAGCATTGCCTCAGCCTGGGCACAGGTAGAAATGACTCCAGAATAGTGCCTGGCAGCAAACTGATCTCAGAATGAGGCAACACAGAGAACCAGGGTTCCAAGCAGCCCTGACCTGGGAAGAGCTGAACACAGAAATACATTTCTGTTCAGTGGAACCAGACAGTGGGAGCCGTGCAGCAGCCTTGTCAGACATGGCGCAGAGTCAGGAGTGGACACTAGATCTTGTCTGCTTCCTCTTCAGTTCCTTCATTTGCCATGGCTGACCTGCTTCATACACGTTCCCCACTATTCTTGAGTTTTTCTTCCTTCCCCTTCTCCTCTCCTCACTTTTGAAATCCTGGGCCCCCTCCTCCTCCTCCTGACCCTCTTCCTTCCCTTCTTATTCTTTCTCATCTTCTTCCTCCTCTGCCTCTGTCCTTCACAAACAGCCTCTTTGTCCTAAATGACTCTTCACCCTCATTCTCTTCCTCCCTTCTTCTTCTTCCTCCTCTTCCCTCTCCTCTACTCAGTTCTCCCATCTTTCATGCTTAGGAAGTAGCTGTATAGCTTAAGGGAAGTGGAGGTGATTAACCAGAAAAATGTTTTCTCAACAAGTTTTTATTAATAGCTACCTAACAAGAAAAATTAAATTTTCCCTTTAAAAAAAGGAAGAAACCAAACAACAAAGAATAAGACAGAATAACATTTTTTTAAAGTGGAGCTTGAAATGCTGCAAATGGTCGTCTTGTCTAAGTCTCTTCAGCCTTTCCCATTAGCACTAGCTTTTCTCCCCTTCCAGCGATTATTTTTTCCATTGAAGTTGCAGGGATCTGGGAAAAGGATATGAATCCATGCCCCTGCCTTTGACTCCTTCTGTCCATACTCTACATGGCCATCGGGTAGCATGGCCCAGCACAGCACCTAAAGCAAGCCTGGACTTCCTACTCCCTGGAGACCCAGGGTCAATGTCAGGAGCTTCCCGCTGTTGGGTTGCTCTGTATGCAATAGCACACACCCT